TGGGGTAATGTGTGGGTTTTCACACACAATCCGAAACACTTCCATCAAACTCGTTAACATAGCCTTCATGTCATTTTCTTAGTTATTGTGTTAAAATGTTCATATTCTACTCTTAGAAAGATTCACTTGTACCCTTGTAAGATAAACCACAGAAGTGATCCCTCCAATCCTCCTCCCTCTAACCATTCCCCCCTCCCTTATCCCTCCCCTCTCCCTGTATTCTTAGGCTGTTATTAGGTTATAGCTTTCGTATAAAAGGCATAAATTAGTTTCATAATAGGGCTGTGTACATTGGATACTTTTTCTTCCATTCTTGTGATACTTTGCTAAGAAGAACATTTTCCAGCTCCATCCATGTGAACATGAAGGACGTAAAGTCTCCATCTTTCTTTATGGCTGCATAGTATTCCATGGTGTACATATACCACAGTTTGTTGATCCATTCGTGGATCAATGGCAACTGGGCCTCCTCCAAGAACCGGCAAATAAGAAATGGACTGCAATAAACATTCTGATACAAATATCTTTGTTGTAATGCGATTTTTGGTCGTTTGGGAATATACCTAATAAAGGAATTGCAGGGTCAAACGGCAGGACTATTTTTAGTTCTCTAAGTGTTCTCCAGATGTCTTTCCAAAAGGAATGTATTAGTTTACATTCCCACCAGCAGTGTAAAAGTGTTCCCTTTTCTCCACATCCATGCCGGCATCTCTGGTTTTGGGATTTTGTAATATGGTAGAGTATTTTCTTGAGTGTTTTCCTGTATGGGACATATGGATGCTATCTTCTCCAAATACAAGCTCCTTGAATGCAGGGACTTTGTATTGTTTACTTCTGTATTCCTAGTATTCAAAACTGTGCCTGGTACATAACAAGGAATCAATACATGTTCACTATTTTTGTGGTATTAGATCACTGTATAAACATATATGTCTTTCTTCTACCCTGAACATTTATATTGTTCGTGATATTTAATCCCTTGCACATGTGCAGATACTTTTCTATCAATCTGAAAAGTTAGTGTTTTGGCTGATACAGAATTCTTGGTTCATAGTCCTTTTTTCTCTTTAATTTGTAGATTTTATTCACAATCCCTTACCTTTCAACTACTGCAGATGAGAAGTCTGATATTAGGCTGATTCTTTTTCCTTCATTCTTTCTGTCTGGCCTCTTCTTACACTTTTTATCAGATAATAGGAATTTCGCCACCCCCATCAATTGTACATAGAAGTCGTGAGCTCTTTTAATCTTCAGACTAAAGTTTCTTTTTAACCAGAGAAAATTCCCTCTCTTATTTTTGTAATTGTTGCCTCTCCTCCATCTGTTCCTTTTTCCTGAGTCTGGAATGCTTATTATTGGCATATTAGGTCTCTTGGCTCTGAATTCTAGTTTTTTACTTATTATTCTTGATTTCCATCATTTTGCTTTTTGCTCTGTGTGACTTTTTCATCTGCTTGCTCTTTCAGGTCAATAATGTATTTTCCCAATCATTCTTTTTTCTTTTTAGTTAGCTTTAATCCATTGACATTTTACATTTGAATAGCATATTCTTAATGCCAAGAATTGCTGACTTTTTCTTCTTTAGTTTCTGCTTATTATTAAAAAAATGAAGTGGTGCTCTCTTTTCTCCAGCAGTCCTGTTTCATTAGGGACCATCTGCTTTAGCAGATCTGATTGGTCTATCTCTCTCTGGTTGCAGTATCCTCTTAAGTACTAGCTTATTTCAATTTTCTGTTTTCTGCTTAAGCTAGGTTAAGCCTTTCCATAGTTGGAGACACAACAGTTTCTACTCCTGCATCAAGAGTGTGAAAGGAAGTCTCTGTGTTCTTAGGTGCCCCTAAATACAAGTGTTTCTGTTCTTTTAGCTTCAGAGATGTGGAACAAGTTTTCTTACACTTTGTCTATTAAGATTCAACATTTCATCTCCCACAAACCAGGACCACACACATGCTGTGAACTAGAGCCACCCCTTAATCAAGCATCCACAGGTCCTTCTCAGACCTAGTTCTTCCATGTTCTCACCCTAGGGCTTTCTCCTGCTGTTCCTCTAGACCTCTTCAGACCTGGGCATTGCAAAAGAATCTGTAGCCTTTGGCACCCCTCAAGTTCTTCCAGCTTGTTCATCCAAGCCAGCTGAAGCTGGGGGAGGAAGAGTATCAAAGAATCCTTCCCTTTTCTTTAAGTTTTCATGAGCAATAGCCTGTATTTTTGCAAGTGTTTTGTGCTATCTAAGCCCAATGTGAATAAGGTTATGTGAATTAATATATAAGAAAATGTCAACTATTGAAATCTTAGAAATAATGTGGAGGTCATAATAAAATGAATCTCTTGTTTCATATGATGCTTTACATTTTTTATGTAATTTTATATACATACTCTCACTTGAGTAGTCCTGTGTGGTATTATCCCCATTTTACAGATCAGAAAACAACAGCTCATAGGGGTTAAATAATTTGTCCTGGCAGTGCCTGTGGCTGAAAGGAGTAGGGCACCAGCCCCATATGCCGGAGGTGGCGGGTTCAAACCCAGCCCCGGCCAAAAACTGCAAAATAATAATAATAATAATAATAATTTGCCCAAAGACATCTGGGTGAAAGTGGAGCTGGTCTAGAAAATTGGTCTTATTACATTATGTTACTGCTAATTTGTTCGCTTGCTATCAGTTGCCTTTAGAACATGTTATATTACATAAATGATTTCTAGACTCCCTAAGTTATATGCTGTAACCAATATTATATTTTTCAACTATTTCTACTATACTGATATGAACAACTTAAAATGTATATGAATGAAAGGTTCTGGACCCAAGGAAGAAAGATTGTTCCAAGGCACGAAACAAAGGAAAACAGAATCTTCATTCTGTAGAAATAATGTGGTCTTTATTTCCACCTGGATGCAGGTGGGATGAAATCAAGAAAGGAATCCCACACATGGGTTATGGTGGATGGGGATTTAAAGGGTCAGGGTGCTTAGCCTGGCATTGTGGTGAACGTCTGTAGTTCCATCTACTTGGAAGGTTGAGGCAAGAGAATTGCTTAAGCCCAAGAGTTTGAGGGTGCTGTGAGCTGTGACTCCACAGCACTCTACTGTGGGCAGCATAGTAAGACTCTGTCTCAAAAAAAAAAGGGGGGGATCAGTGTGTGTAGCAATTGGTGGCATTCTTATTTCCTGGGAGGGACATGCGTCTGATCCTTCCTGGGTGGGTCATGAACCTGACTCTGCCTGGGCAGGGCAATTCTATTTGGGCAGGTACACCTGATTCTATCGACATAGTAGGATGTTGAGTATAAAGTAATAAGATTTTCTTAATAATTTGAAATATAACAAAAAAGGAATTTGGAAATACTTTGAAAAAGACTGATATAACCGGAGTATATATATTATTTCATGAAGATAACTTTTGAAGGAGAACATGTATTTTGAATAATGAATACTTAAATTTTTCTTTTTGGGATGTGTATGTGTTTTGGAGGCAGAGTTTTTACTTTGTTACCTTTAGTAGAGGGCCATGGTGTCATAGCTCACAGTAACCTCAAACTCTTGAGCTCAAGTGATTCTCTTGCCTCAGCCTCCCAAGTAGCTGGGACTAAAGGTGCTGGCCACAACACCCAGCTATTTTTAGAGACACAGTCTTGCTCTGGCTCAAGCTGGTCTCAAACTCCTGAGCTCAGGCAATCCACCCACCTCAGCCTCCCAGAGTGCTAGGATTACAGGCGTTGAACCACCATGCTTGGCCTTGGGATGTGTTTCTAAAACATTTGGATTTGGGGGCGGCATCTGTGGCTCAAGGAGTAGGGTGCTGGCCCCATATACTGGAGGTGGTAGGTTCAAACCCAGCTCCAGCCAAAAACTGCCAAAAAAAAAAAAAAAATTGGGTTTGGCCAGATGTGGTGGCTTGTGTAATCCCAATGCTTTGGAAGGCCAAGGCAGGAGGACTGCTTGAGGCCAGGAGTTTGAGACCAGCCTGGCCAATATAGCAAGGCCTCATCTTTACAAAAATTAAAAAATAATTAATCAGCATTGTGGTGCATGCCTATAGTCCCAGGTACTTGAGAGGCTGAGGTAGGAGGATCACTTGAGCACAGGAGTTCATGGTTGCAATGAGCTATGATCATGCCACTGCACTCCAGCCTAAGTGACAAAGCAAGATTCTGTCTCTAAAAAAGAAATTTTAAAAATTGGATTTGTCTTACAGTCTAATAGAAGTCATGCAATAGGGAAATCAAGCATGACATTGAGAAAATGTAACCATGTTATATTTGGTTTTTTTTTGTCTTAAAGTCTTGTAATATAGGACTAAACAAATTAAAAGCTATTATAAAGACCAGACTTTTGTCCTAATCTCATCTCGTTTTTGTGCTAACACTATATTTTAAAGCATTGTCTCATACTCAAGGGTGATTATTAAAAATATTTAACAAGTAATATGGCCTGTTTAGTGATCACACAGAGTATATGCCAGCTATACACACCTGGTGTCGCATCAGTGCATGTTGGCAGTGTATCAGCCCTGAGCATAGTCACAGTGCATAGCACCTTTCACTTGGTATTTTCATATCCATTCTCTCAGGTTATGTGAATTGGGGAGGGTTATAATGTCATCCCCTTTTTGTAAATTGAGGAAATTGCAGCCCTGAGAAGTTTAGCATAGGGCCCCTTAGAATAAATGATTTCTGGCTTTTTGTTTAGTGTTGTTCCTTGGGTAGAAGTTTGATAGACAAATACCAGCTCCTTTCAGAGAGAACTCAGAATAGGTGGTGGGTAGAATGAACAACCCCCTGGAATCTTCCTTTCCCAAGCTAATTCCTCACTTCTGGGTCCCTTGCAGAAGAAGTCTGCCCTGGAAGAGTGAAATTGGCTCAAGCAAGTGAGCAGATTTTTCCCAGTGGAAGAACTTAACCCAGCCACTTCTCTTCATGTTCACTGGGACGATGTGTTCAAAGCCTTACTTCAAAAGGACATTCTTTTCATTGCTTGTTTTTCCCTCTCTCCTTCCACAGAACGGTCTCCCCTCAGAGAACAACCCATATGTTTTTAATGGTGATTTCGTAGATAGAGGAAAAAATTCCATGGAGATCCTAATGATCCTATTGGTGAGTTTTCTCGTCTACCCCAACGACGTGCACTTGAACCGAGGGAACCATGAAGATTTTATGATGAATCTGAGGTAATCTAGACCTTTAGATTTCTTCTTTTATTTTCTACTCTAGAAAATGCCACCACATTTAGTTCCTAGTAGAAAGTTAGAGGGGAAGGTAGAGAAGGTGAGATGAGGGGAATCTCAAGGAAGACCTCACTGCTTACCCTTATTCACCACCCCCAATCTTCTACTGACTATTAGTTGCTCTGAAGTTTCCTTCCCATTTTCTGGTTCTGTTCTTCCTTTTTCCTTCTATTATGTTCTTTCTTTTGTTCCACGCCCATCCTTCACAGGCCAAATTGTGTGCTGGGTAGTTGTGTTAGGCCAGGTTTGGAGATGTAGTAGGTTCTGTGAACAGATTTGGATGGAATCGTTCTGTTGTTGCTCTTGCTTTGCCTCAGATGTTGTCTCAGAAACTAGTACCATGTTTTCCACTGATGTGTGTTTTTTATGACATGGTAATTGCTTCTGGCATAGTTGTTCATAAACATATTTGAGAACAGCTGTAACATAGCATTTCAACTATCTGACTCACTGGAAATTTGAGAAATGAAGCTTGGTTAGATGGTTTGAGAATTTTTGCTGAAAGGCTCGGTAGGTGACAAATGTTCCCTTTTTCCTTCTTTCTTCTTTTACTTTTAAAAATCTTTCATGGTATGGAAAATAGAAATCAGTGCTCTAGGGCAGTGAGATATTATTAAGAAAATCATACTTTTGGTCCTAGGCTTTTGGGTGCCTTCATCAAAGCTTAACAACTGATTAGCTTTATCTTTTGGGCAGTTTTGGCACCTGGCCTGAGTACAGAATTTCAATTCTGATTCTTAAGATGTAGAAATAGGGCCAGATATGGTGGCTCACACCTGTAATCTGAGCACTCTGGGAGGCCAAGGCCAGTGGATTGCCTGAGCTCACAGGTTTGAGACCAGCCTGAGCCAGAGCAAGACCTCATCTCTTAAAATAAATAAATAAATAAATAAATAAAATATATATACACACACACACACACACACATATATATATCCAGGCATTGTGGCGGGTGGCTGTAGTCCCAGCTACTCGAGAGGCTGAAGCAAGAGAATCGTTTGAGCCCAGGAGTTTGAGGTTGCTGTGAACT